TTTTTTGTCGGTGCTCCGAAAAAATTGAGGTTTTGCACAAAGATTTTTTTATAATATTCTTTACCTTCTATTAAAATCTTACGAAGGTGTTTTGCTTCGTTTTGGAGATATTAATTTTCAAAATTTTTTATTTAAAAAGGTTAATTAAAAGACTTGAAGTTAACTATCGAAATTCAAACTGCTCCATTTTTTATAAAAATATATTAAAATGTAGCGATTTGAAATTGGTCAGTTAACTTCAAGTCTTTTAATTAACCTTTTTACATAAAATTTTTTTTAAAATTATTATCTCCAAAACGAAGCAAAACACCTTCGTAAGATTTTAATAGAAGGTAAAGAATATTATAAAAAATCTTTGTGCAAAACCTCAATTTTTTCGGAGCACCGACAAAAAAGTTATAAGTAAATAAAAATCTTGAGAATATTTAAATAAAATTTTTTTTAAAATCGTATATCATCCAAAAATAATAAATTTTTGCAATAATTCTTTCGTTCCTCTGTGCAGAATAAAGTGATTTATGTTTTTGGTGAGATCCAACATCTAATTTTTAATAGTTTTTTAATAATAGCGTTTTTAAAAAAATTGAAAAATTTAAGGTTACAAAATCACATTGTGAACCTCCTACTTTTGATATTTAATATTTTTAAAGGGAATAAAATTTTTACCATAATATTATGGTTAATGAACTCAGGGAATCATCGAGTTTCACATATATTAAAACTAGATTTTTTTAAAATTTGGTCGCAACCACTATTAGACGAAAGTCAGTGGACTGACCCAGCACAAAATTTGTTAAATGAAAAATAATTCGTTTTAAATATTTCCGAATAAAAAAATGCTGTTATTGAATTTTAAAATTTAATTATTTTGAAAATTTTTTAATTTTTCGTGACTGTTATGATTGTTTCTTTTTTATGATAGACTAGCACAATTCAGCACAAAATTTGTTTTTAAATAATAATAATTTTTTAATATTCCTGAGTTAGAAAATCATATTTTGAATTTAAATTTGTAATTTAACATATTATATTAAGTATATTCAATATGTGAATATATAAGATATAAGTTAGATGTTTATCCAAAACCAAATGGTGTTAACTATGAATAAATATTAATTAATAATATAATAATTTCTTTTTGTTCTGGTCTTGCACAAAGGTTTATTTTTAATTATACATAGAAGTGTATTTTTGAACTAAAAAATGTTTTTTTTTTAATTTGAGTCCTAATTATTATTTTTTTGAAAAGATAAAATGTCGCTTACTTATTTAATCAAATTAATTTAACAACTGATGAATGTCGTTGAATCTATTTTGAATTTTTAAAAAGACAATGCTTAATTTGAAGATAAAAAGTCACTTAAAAATTTTTTTTTAAATATTAGGTAATAACTTTGACGTGGTAAAAAAATGTTCACTAATATAGGTCAACAGGTCGGTCTCAAAAAATTCTAAAATAAAAGAAAAATATCTATAGATGTATGTATGAATAAAATCATTTTTTTCGAGTCAAATATAATGAGAGAATAATTTTTTTCATACAATTCTCGACCAAGTGATAAATTCATCAATAAGTATATAATAATAAAAATAAGTTGATTCTTCTTGGGAGGGTTTTTTTATTAGACAAGACTCTTCTTTGGTCTTTTTTCGGTCCAAATACTGAGGAGACTAGCGATTGTTAACATTACATGGGTAATTAGATCAGATGACAGAAAGGATTCGAACGAGTTAACTTTGTTACTGAAAATTGGTTGCTGACAGAAGAAGTTCCGAGATCAATTTCACCGACACGAAGGGACCACGCACGACGTACTGAGAATTTTTCCTACTTTTTGTAACAAATTTAATTGAGCTTGACTTCAGTCGACACATAAATTACTGAAATCGTCTCGACACAGTCATATTCGACCTTCAGTCATGGAATTACACAACATGTCAAATATGTAACATATTTTTCGCTAAATTTCTTTTGTTTAAAAATAAAATTTAAAAATTCATAAAAATATGTAATTAGTTATATACAAGTTTCTCTTAATTGAATTAAAGTTGGAGGAATATAATTAAATCACTTGCGCGAAATAATTTTGTAATTAAAATTAAAAATTGAGTGGAATTATATATTTATAACTGCGAGAACTATAGTGTAATATAAAATGTAAATAATTATTATATATTAGCTTTAATATATCCATATGGTTGGGTATAAAATTAAATCTTATCTGAAAAGAGTTATAATGGTAAAAGGCGGCTAAATCAGAGAATCATAATCAGAGCAATGTGCGAGTATAAAAATGGCAAGCTGGATATAATTAACAAACATCAAACGCGGAAGTGCGCTGAAAAGCAAGAAGTAAACTAATCTAATTAACACTGCAGTCTTCCATGAATACATTTAAAAAGAATACAAGGCGGTATCGTTTTCATCGCTTTTCGCTGTATTGTGAGGAATAATAAAATAATTAACCAAATAATTAATTTTTCATCAAAGTACTATTGGACGTTCTGATGCATTTTATTTGTATATAGCTCAAGATTAATTTTTATAAATTACTATTTTTTTATAATTCACCTTTAATGCTTGTAATTTTTTAATAGTTATTAATTTCACAGTTAAATAATCCGTTAATGATTCGGTGAAATCAAACTTTTTTGCTTTTAACAAAAAAGGTTTGAATATTGATAAGAATTTTTAAAATCGTTTATTTTATTATATTTTATTAATTATAAAAAATTAAATTAATATCACGTTTTCAGCTTTAAACATTTTTTAAGGAACAATATTTTATTTTTGTTTTCTTTTTGTCGTTTGTAACTTTTAAGTACGATAAACTTTAATTAATGTAAAAATCACGAAAATAATCAACAAAGAATAAAGTATCACTTATAGTTATATCAAATAAATTTTTGTTTTTTATAATTTAAAGCCTAGACACTTGAAAATTAAACTTTATTTTTTAAAAACTAAGCAAAACACCTTTGTGAAATTCTAATAAGTAAATTTATCTAATACAATATTTTAGTGCAGTGCAGTTTTTTCTCATTCATATAAAATTGATTAAAAATTTAAAAGAAACAAAAAAAAATTAATTTTTAAAAATAATGTGCTTCCACATACATCAATTCTTATAAACTATGTTATAAGGTAAGATCATACTAATTGTAAGTTTTAATGTCTTCAATTTATCAAACCATTTAAAAATAAACTAATTTATATAAAAAATAAAAAATAAACATCTTGTTTCTTATGATTAAAAAAAAAACAAATGATAGAATTATATTCCTTAGTGTTAAAAACTATGTAATTTACAGAAAATAAAATATTATTAAAGAGGACCCGAACCAAGGGTCGAAACGTCTAACAAAAAAACATCTAGTTTCATTTGTATTACATTAAGGAACCTAAAAAACCACAAAATGTTCCATTCAGCAATAATAATAATAATAATAATAATAATAATAATAATAATAACAATAACGCAAATAAATTATATCGACATTTAAATACACGGAAAGAAAATAAATATCAAATTTTATAAAAGCATTTTCAAATTATGTAAAAGTATATTTTCAAGTTTTGGAAAATATTGTAAAAAGCGAAATTTCCATATCAAAAATACTAATCTTTAATAAACTTTTGTGAAATTTACTATAGTTATAATAAAATTTGGTAGATCGTATTTGATTTATTATTAAATGATACCAAATTTTATTATAACTTATAGTAAATTTCATATAAAAGTTTATTAAAGATTAGTATTTCTTATATAGAAATTTCGATTTTTTCAATATTTTCCACGACTTGAAAATACTTTAACAAAATTTGAAAATGCTTTTAAAAATTTGATATTTATATTATTTTCGTGTATGTATAAAACCTCAAATTTTTAGGAGATTTCAAAAAAAAGTTACAATGATAGAATGATTGAATGAAAAATGTGGTAAGAAAATAGCAAAAACTAAAAAAACTTCAAAATTTTGTTATACTATAAAAAATAGTGTAACTTAAACAATTTAACTTTTTAAATAAATTCTAGTAAATTTGTTAAGTTGAATAGATGTACTTTAAAAGCCCGCGCCAATAACCCATTTTTGAAGTTTAAAAAAAATCACCAAAAAATAAATAATAAAATCAATTTAATTAATTATTCTTATTCTGAATATTAAAATTTATTACAAAATTGAAAAATAAACAAATTTTATTTTTCCAAATTCATTTTTGAAAAGTTTAATATCAGTTTAATGTCTTTGTCAACGATAGCAAAAAATTTAGACTTTCCTGTCAATAATTCTTGGTCTAAAAGAACGAGATGGTGCGTTTTTGCAATAGTTTAAAAAAAAAATTATTTTTATTTACCTATTAAAATTAAACACAATTAGTAATTACTTACGTAAAAAATTTGGCCTTTCGCCAAAATCAATTATCACATAACCTCACTTTTTTGAAGACGCATCTTAGGCGAGCATTCATCCATCCATAATACTTAATTCCGTTTGACAAATTCAGTGTCATTGAAATGGATAATCTTCTCAATTTATTTCAATATGTTTAAATAAATCAGTAAACGGAATTATTACAAATTTGACAATTACTTCATTTTTATTCGTCTGTATTTGTTTTCTTACTGGAATATTTCCGCAAACTTTTTGATCTTCGATTTTCAACATTTTCTGTTCATTCTACATGTCTATAACTGACAAAGATAAATAAAATAATTGAATTTATTTCTCCTTTACTGTTTTCCAAAAAATAAACAATTTTTAATTAATAAGAATTAAAGAAACTGAAATTTTATATGAAAGAATTAAGAATATATCTGTATCGTCTGTAATATTATGAAAAAATATATTTTAGTTGCAGCGCCATCTGTTACAAATGGGACAAACACTTTTCTAGTACCGACTGGCCGGCATCAACCACTTATCAACTGTTTCAGACTACATAAACCGATGGTAATAAACTTTCGACAGCAGCGCCGTTTCGAATGATAAAACAGTGCCACTCCAGACCTCGTGCGTGTCTTGTTAGACATAACCTCAAAAATAATTGAAAATAATTGTCAGTTCGAGAAAACTACATGCAAGTTTAATAAGTTTTTTATTAAGTAAAGTTAATAAATATTTCACTTTTAAAATGATAAGACGACAAGCTCGTCTCCGTCGGGAGTATCTATACAGAAAATCCATTGAAGGAAAATTAAAAACAATACAGGAGAAAAAGGACAAGCTAAAGAAGAGCTTGGAAGAAAATGTACCGATTCATCCTGATCTAAGAAAAACTGCTCTTCATTTACAAAGAAAAGCAGAATGGGAGGATGCAGGACCGGAACTTGCCATGGCAATGGGCACAGAAATGGGAGGTGCCCTGGGCGACAGTAAGGATGACGAATATCGATGGGCAGGTGTCGAGGATCCAAAAATTGTGATCACAACCTCTCGGGATCCAAGTGCACGATTGAAAATGTTTGTAAAGGAACTTCGTCTCATTTTTCCCAATGCACAGCGAATGAATCGAGGTAATTATGAAATGAAGAAATTAATTCATGCCTGCCGGGCAAATGATGTCACTGACTTTATTATCGTTCATGAACATCGAGGTGTACCGGACACACTTATTATTTGTCATCTTCCTCATGGCCCAACCGCATATTTCACGATGTCGGGAGTTGTGATGAGACACGACATCCCCGATATTGGAACAATGTCCGAGGAATATCCACATTTAGTATTTCATAATTTTAAAACAAAACTCGGCATGAGAACAATGGATATTTTAAAGTATCTGTTTCCTGTGCCAAAGAAAGAGAGCAAGAGAGTCATGACTTTTGCTAATCACGATGATTATATTTTTTTCCGACATCACACATATCGGGAGGAAAAAGGAAAGAACGTTGAGATGACTGAAGTGGGACCGAGATTTTTATTAAAACTTTACGACATTAAATTGGGCACCCTGGACTCGATTGCAGCGGCTGATACTGAATGGGCTTTGAGGCCATACATGAACACATCTCACAAAAGAAGATTTTTGTCTGATGAAGATGGTTGGAATCAAAAGGACGATCAATAAATTATTGGTAAATTTAATTTTTCTTTTCATAAATACTTTGTTTTTTTTAATATTTAATGGTTTAAATGTTTTTAAAACAATTACTTTCTATTATCTTCTATATTTATAGAAATTTATTACAAATATTTCATGAATAGTTTTAAATTTTCATTTTAATTTCAATTATTCCAGGCCTTGGATTGTATGACTTTTACCACTTTCTTCAACTATTTTTCAAAAATGCAAATTTTTTCGACTGATTTTAAAAAGATGCGACTTTTTTTTACATTTTTACAAAAATTTTAATAAAATACGACTTTTTTATAGTATACAATGCAGCTCTTCCAAATTTAATTACATAGGTACTTAACAAATTTTTAACTATAATTCTTCGCTAAATTGATTATTTTCAATAATATAAATAAAATTTTTCAAAAATTTAATTATCTGAAAATATTCATCAATTAAATATTTTAAAAAATTCAATAATTATTTCTAATTTCAAAAAAAAGACAATTTCAGCAAATAAAATTATAAAAAATTTCAATTAAATATCACATGTAATTTATTTGTTTACAAAAATCTAAACTTAATAATTTAATGATTAATAATAATTTCAACGAATAATTTCCATCAAGTTTTTTAAAAAATTAATTATTTAAAACATATTTTAATTAAAAATTCTGTAAAATTTAATTACCTATTCACAGAAATTGAAAAAATTTTCAGCAATTAAAATTTTTAAAAATTTCAATTTAAAATCTTTTGAAATTGAATTGCTTGTAAAAATTTTAATTTAAAACCTTCTAAAATTTTCAAAATAAAACTTTCTGAAATTTAATTATTTCTTCAAATTTTAATTAACACCCTTCTAAAAGTCAATTATTTTAAAAGAATTTTATTTTAAGTAAATTATTAAATTGTTGTCAACCAATAATTTTTATCAATTTCTTCGAATATTGAATTATTTAAAACATTTTCAATTACATTTTCAATAAAATTTAATTATTGTCTGAAATTTAAAAATATCTTGAAAAATTAAAATTTTCGAAAACTTAAAATCTTTTGAAATTTAATTATTTCTAATAACTACAACTGTATCTCTTCCATAATACTATTATTTTTTATTTTTTTAAATTTAATTATTTAAAGAAGTTTCAAATTAAAACTTTTAAAATTTCAATTGTTGTCAGAAATTAAAAAACAAATTACAGCAACTCAAATTTGCAAAAATTTATTTTAATTTAAAATCTTTTAAAATTTAATTATTTAAAAAAATGTCAATTAAAAACTCTTTAAAACTTAATTATAGTCCGAAATTTTTTTATTTGTTAAAACTAAAAACTGTGACAAAATTTTGAATTTTGAATCTGTCTTACTGAATTATAAAAATCTTGAAAATTTTGTTTTAGTTCGATTTTGATATATTCAAAATAAATTTTCTTGATATTATTCCTATAGAATAATTCTTATCAAGAAATTAATAAAATTAATTTAATATTTAATAACAACAGTTAATTGAAATAAAATATTTAGTAAATAATTAAAATTAAGAATAAAAAGTAGACTTTTTCGACTATTCTTGGAATGTAGATTGAGTAAGACAACTTCTTTTGCGCCTTATAGTCGATCCGAGGCCTTTTATTCTATTATCAATAATTTTTATTTTTGTTTATATTTTCTCTATATTTAATAATTAAATAGGTATTATTTTCAAAATATTTTAAAAAATCCCTTTTTTATAGTTAATTAATACAAATAAAAATCATGTTTCAGCAATATTTATTCTGAAGAAGATGATTGACAGCTTAAGGAAGCTGATTTTACATATGTAAATAATATAACAGTATGTACATTTAATAAACGAACTTTGTAAGTTTTATTATCATCAACAAATTTTTATAAATTTTCATATTTTTATAAAAAATGAAATTGTAATTTGCTAAAAAATTAAATACTTTATTAAATAAATACATAAATAGGCTTAAAGAAAACTAAGTTTTAATTTATTGAAAATACCTATATAATTCATAATTTTGAAATTTTAATTTAAAAGAAAAAAAAAAAATTTTCATTGTGAAATGATACAAACATTTATCTGAAACTGACCAATAAATATTTTTTTGATACAAAATTTTTCGCTCATACACAAAAGTCTTACAAATCGTGTTTTGTTATTATAAATATTTTTATACTGTCATATCTACATACCTTGAGGAATTTTAGTGATATGACATGAAATCAATAGTCTCTTACATTGCAGAGAGTACATTTTTTCACTCTTCAGTGAAACTTTTTATTTTATTCTTATTACTTAGGGAGTTTTCATAAAATTTTTTAAAATTTTTATGAGTAGATCGGGTCTGATTTATATAACAAATTTTTTTTCTTATAATTTTTTATTGAAAAATAAGCGCTAAATTAAATAAAAACGTTGTAAATAATTTTGAAGTACCGAAGACGATGCGAGACCCGAATATTACCTACGGTATCGTGACGTCATATCGGTATAAATAAAACACTGTTGTCATGAGTTTTTTATGTAAAAACAAAGATTATTTTGGAAATCGTATTCGACATGCATGGCAATAAATATAAAATATCTCAGAAGACATAAAATAAATATGTAACAGGAATAAAATTAAAAATTTTATTTTTTAACCAGCTAACTGAGAAAAGAACTGTGTTAAATAAAAAAGTTTTTTCTCAACTAAACAAAATGTGCATTGAAATAAAATATTTATTTATTCTTGTAGTAATTATCAACACTTTTATAAATAATCAAGGAGAGGTTTGTATTTTTATTGCTGAAATATCTAAAACTATGAATAAATTAAAATAATTATACAATTGATTTGAAAATCACTAAAAACAAAGTTATATATTTTTGCAGATAACTCAGTCTGAATTGGATAAAATTGCCATTGAAAACTTTCGAAATTATCTTCGAATTCCATCCGTTCAACCAAATATTAATTATGGTATGTGTCTTAATATATTTTAATGAAATTAAATTATTAACTTAACTTAATTATTAACATTTTTTTGTAGGTATTACTATTTATGTAATTAATTTTAAAATTTATTGAAATTCTCTTATACTTTCATTACAGAAAAATGTTTAAATTTCATAAAAAGTCAAGCCAAGTCCTTAGGACTTCCTGTAAAAATTATTGAAGTTAGTCCTAAAAAACCTGTTGCAATAATTACGTGGGAAGGAACGGAACCTGAGAAATCGTCAATTATGCTCAATGGACATATGGATGTGGTACCAGTTGTTGAAGTATGTATTCCACGGGACTTTTATTCAAAAATTATTTTTAATTCAGATACAGTGCAACCTCGATTATCCCAACTAACTTAGACAGGACCGGGTTCGGATAAACGAAAATTCGGATAATAGAAATTTCAAATGTTTTTATATATAATTAAAGTAAAACAATGTCACAGTTAAACTATAATATATACTGAAAGAAAATTTATTTGATTCAAATACTTGATTACTTAAGTATCATCAAATAAATATTTACTTCAACTAAATAATTTTTATTTGAATTAAATAAATTTGTATTTTTGAACCAATAATTTCTGTATTTGAAACAAATACCGCATTTAATTGATTCAAATAATAATTATTTGTTACAAATAAATATTTATATTAAATTAAATATATATATACATATATTAAATAATAATTAAGATATAAATACATTAATAAAATGAAAAGACAAAAAAAAGTTCGGATAAAATGTTTTACGGTTCGGATAGCAGAAGGTACGGATAACAGGGGTTCGGATAATCGAGGTTCCACTGTACATTTTAATTTTTTTAGATTTTTCTTTAACATTATTTAAATTAAAAGTAAAACAAAGATATAAATTTTACGCTATTAAACACTTCAACCATAATCCATTAACAAATTAATATGTTTGCGAAAAACAGTATATCACGACATTAATTAGGATTAATATTAATATTTAAAAATTAATTTTTAATTAATTAATTTGTTACGTTACAAATTAGAAATAAAATTTAGAATAAAATTCCATGTTCTTAAACAATAATTGATAAATAATTTTACTTAATTGTTTTAATGAATTTTTAGAGTGAATGGAAATATCCACCGTTTAATGCTACAATGGATGAAAATGGAAATATTTATGCGCGCGGTGCTCAAGATATGAAAAGTACCAGTATTCAATATCTCGAAGCTATTCGACAACTGAAACTAAATAATGTGAGATTGAATAGAACAATTCATGTTACTTTTGTACCAGATGAAGAATTCGGCGATCCTGGTATGGAGTATTTTGTAAAAAGTCCAGAATTTCAGAGTATGAATGTCGGATTTGCATTAGATGAGGGTCTAGCTAACGAAAACAGTCAATTTTCATTATATTATGGAGAAAGAACTATTTTGCAAATATGGGTCAATTGTCCTGGTGAAGCGGGACATGCCTCGATTTTAGCGAACGACACTGCAGCTGAAAAGCTCAGAATTGTCATTGATCGTTTTATGGATTTTAGAACTTCAGAAAAATTGAAGTTGAATGATCCAAATGTTGATCCTGGCGATGTCACATCTGTCAATTTGTCGAGACTCAAAGTATTTATCTCAATTCTTATTATTATTATTTTATTCTTCTGAGATAAACTATTGTTTTTTTAAAAATAAATTTCAACTTGTCATTCTTTATACTTCAGGGAGGAATTCAAGATAACGTACTCCCACAAGAACTTTCTGCAATGTTCGATATTCGAGTTACTCCGAGTAGAAATTTAACAGAGTTTGAAAAATTAATTGAATCATGGCTTAAAGAAGCCGGAGAGGGAGTTAATTATACAACAATTTATAGAGGTACTCCAGTGCAAAGTACTAAATTGGATAACAATAATATTTTTTGGATAGCATTTCAAAAAGCAGCTTCTGAACTCAATATGAAGTATGTTACTCGTATTTTCCAAGGAGCAACAGATATACGATATTTGCGAGAAGTAAGATTTTATTATATAATAATAATAATAATAATAAGAAAATTACAAAAACAAAATTTTAATTAGAAAAACTTGCTTCTTTCTAATAATTTGAGTTACAATTTTTGAACGTGCACAAGCAACTCCATCAATTTCAAAATTCATTTTATGATATTAATCAAAAATAGCATGTTCTATTAACATAAGATACTATTAATTACGAGAAATATAAATCAATTTATTCTGCACAAAGAAATGATGGAATTGTTATAAAATTATTTTATTTTAAGATTATAATTGAATTAAAAAATTTTTTTAAGCATAACTTTTTTAAGTAAAAAAAAATTTTCAAAATGGAGCAAAATATCTTTGTCAAATTTTAATAGCTATAAATTATTATTACTAGTAAAAATATATCTGAAAAACATTAAAGTTTTTAGAGCTTTCAGAAAAAAATGTGAAGTTTTTTCAACGAAAAAATTACCAATTTTATTTATAATTAAAATAAAATAATTTTATAATTTATATTCCATCATTTCTTGGTGCAAAATAAATTGATTTATGTTTCTTATAATTAACAATCTCTTATGTTAAATAGTTTTTGGATAATAGTTTTCAATGTAAAATTTAAGTTTACGAACTCAGATATTCATCAAGTTTCACATATATTAAAAAATTTTTTATAAATATATACAAGAAATTTTTTTTTCAAATTTTGTAAAAGTATTTTTAAGTGGTGGAAAATATATGATAAAAAGTGAAATTTCCAGAAATACTATAATCTTTAATAAACTTTTATGAAATTTACAATATAGTTATATTAAAATTTGGTAAAATGTATTTATTACTAAATGAGACTAAATTTTATTAAATCCTGTATTATGTTTATAAAAGTTTTTAAAAAGTTTAGAATTTCTTATAATGAAAATTATAATTTTTAGCATATTTTCCACGACTTGAAAATACTTTTATAAAATTTGATATTTATTTTCTTTCGGTGTATAAATATATAGGTATAGCAGCAATTATTAAAAATTTTATTAATAAAATTTTGACTTCAATAATAATTATTTCTATTTAATTTTTTAGCTTGGAATTCCAGCATTAGGATTTTCTACAATGATTAATACACCAATTCTTCTTCATGCTTCAAACGAATACTTAAACAAAGACATATTTCTTAATGGAATTGGAATTTACATGAAAATTATTTCGGCTATTGCAAATGCTTAAATACATAAACGATTTTCTATATTATTCCTTTATTCAGAATATTTACTATAACTAATCCGGATAAAATAATAAAATGTAGTCATAAATTGATAACATTAAGTAAATTCATAAAATATTAATAATAAACTAGTTAAAATATAGCGCGCGTGCAGTTTCTACGTCGTGGAGTAATAAATTAATAATATATTTCTAATTTTCACATTATCATTAATTTAAACAGAGAAAAATCAGTTTGATGTTATATTAATAGTGATTTTTTAGCTGAGGCAGCTCATAATTAGCTAATAGCAAAATAATTTAGCTAAGTCAATTTTTAAATTTAATAAACTTGTAAAACTATTATTTCGATTGTTAACGGTAACAACAATGAAAACCCCAAAAAAATTCCACCGAAAAAGTAATGATGATAAGAAAGACATAAATTAAAACCAACATGTGACAATTGGATATGTAAATATTGATAAACCAATTTTCGTATCGCCAACATAAAAAACATTTTGAAAAATATAAAACAAAAAAAGTTTTGTTAATGTTTTGAAATTTCAACTTAAATTGAAAATTGGAAGCAAATTGACAAATTTTTAAAAATATAAGCAATTTATTTTCATATAAAAAAAAATTTGTTGTTTCTCTAATATGAAAAGTTTACAGTTTAAAAATATTATAATAATAATTAATAATAAAAATAAATTAATAAATAAATTTATAAATAGTATATTATTATTTATTCATAGTCCCCACCTTTCGGTTTCGGACGAACTTCCGGTTTACATCTTTCATATTCTTATATTACATCAAAATAATTGCACAAAACTTAAATTTAAAACTTAAATTAAATCAAAATGTGAGTAAACTATAAACTAAACTATAAATAAGTCTTAATTCTCTTTTAATTTATAAATAGTATATAATAAATAATAATGAAAAAAATAATAATTATATTATCTGTAATAATCATTATATAAAAAATATAAAATATTATTAATATATAATTTATAATAAATTATTTATTTATATAAAAGTTATATTATATAATTGAAACTTATTTTTCTATAAATAGCAAGTAGGATAGTAGCAAGAAGTATATATTACTTAATTTCAAGTTTAGCGTGGACAGACGGAATGAATGAATGAATACGGATATTATTATATGTAATAATAAAATAAAAAAAAATAATATTAAATTTTAATTTTCTAATCTCTGTGAATATTAATAAAGCGTACTGAAATTTGGCGCTGATAAAGGCAATTCTGTCCACAAATTCACAACGGACAAAACTACTTTACCTTGCATGAAGAATCGATCGGTAAAATGTGAAATGTCGACAAAAAAGCTTTCTTTTTTATCGAACTAACCCCATCGTCATTGACGTGAATTTACCGGATTCTTTTCACTGCGATTTGCTGGATTTGCGTTTGTTACTTTGATCCGTGTGTGTGTGTGTGTTGTATGTGGTTGTACCCGAGGTGTGGTATTTGCGGTGGTTAACGAACGTCTCGTCAAAGATAAGAACAAATTAAAAAGGGCGAGCCGCTGCGTTAAATAAAACATCATGCCTCTTGGACATCTCCCCGCGTGTGTAATAGATGTAGGCACAGGGTAAGTGATTTTGTATTGTTTCTAAATTTCCATTTTCAATGAGCACAGTTAGGCTAGGAAATGATGATTAACCCTGAAACAACTCCACTCTTGTGTCAGTGACAAAGTGTATCATCATCCGGCTTGATTATAAACTTCCGATCTAAGATTAAATATACTTTCTTTTAAAACGAATTTCGTTTCTTGTTTAGTGTTAAAAAAAAAAACTTATTTCTGTTTTTATATTGATAGGTCGATTAATTTACTTACACTATTTCACTTTTTGACATGCCATACCGAGCCTACTTTTTCAATACATTGTTTTCCATAACAAATGTTACTATTTTTGTTTTTAAATGTATAATTTTTTAATTATACCACAAAAACATCTACAGTTATAGGAAGGCTGGTATTAAAATTTACAAAATTATCTTTGAAATTTGCGATCAGTTCATTATTTGAGGTTATGCTGGATGCTATTATAATATGTTTCATTGTTTAATTAATTAAATCATTTATTTAAAGTTTTATTTTTAAACGAGATTTTTTTTAATAGCTTGGATAAAATTACTAGATTTGTTTTGATTAAGTTTGGAATATTTTTGGAGTAGTCTTTTGTCTCGTCATGGGAGCTTCAAAGTGTATCTTTATATAAAAAACAAAAGAAATGTACAGTAGTACAGTTTAGAAATGTAACTTATTTTGTTTCCAAACAAAACCAAAAAAATTTTACTATAAAAACCAATACATTTTTGTAAATAACATTATTAAATAGAATTTTGTTTTAAAAAATATATTTAAGTACTAAATTGTTAAATAATACGTTATTATATATAAACATTAAATTATTCACATTTAATTTATCTATTAATAAACGATTAAAAAATTTTATTGGAAAAGCAATTGCTTGGAAACTAGTTCTTCCTTTTACTTTTACTAGATATTTATAGAAAATATTCAATAAATAAACTTTCTGATAAATATGTTTCTTGTATGATTATGTCAATAACACATAAATTTAGAAACTACAAACTATTTTAAAATAAAGTAAACAATTGGTTTATTTTTATTAAATAAAGTAATTTACAAAAATTTGTATTATATTGATAGTGTAATTATAACTTTACTATTGATAATAATCTCGTGGACTAATAGTTTTTATAACTTGTAAATAGGCGAATGTAATAATAAATTTAAAAAATGGTTTTAGGTACACAAAGTTAGGTTTCGCAACCAATAAAGAGCCTCAACTAGTAATACCCTCGGCTATAGCCATCAAAGAAACAGCAAAAGTTGGAGACAATAGTGCAAGGCGTGTTACAAAAGGAGTTGATGACCTCGATTTTTACATTGGCGATGAAGCCTTCGAAGCTACGGGATATGCTGTTAAAGTAAGCAAATTTAAATGTTTCTATTATTTTTATACTGTATCACACTTAAAATATTCCCTGAAAAGAGAAAGAGACAAATTTAGAAAAAAAAAAAAATGAAGATAATTATTTCGCCTATTTTAGTACCCAGTCAGGCATGGCCTCGTGGAGGATTGGGATCTTATGGAACGATTCCTTCAGCAGTGTATTTTCAAATACCTCAGGGCTGAGCCCGAAGATCATTATTTTCTACTGACTGAGCCTCCACTCAATACTCCGGAAAATCGAGAGTACACAGCCGAAATTATGTTCGAATCTTTTAATGTATCTGGACTGTACATAGCTGTGCAAGCAGTGCTTGCTTTAGCTGCTTCGTGGACAGCGAAAAATCTAGAAGACAGAAGTCTAACGGGCATTGTTGTCGACAGTGGTGACGGAGTTACTCACGTTATTCCAGTGGTAAATCAATCTATTTCATTGTTTTTTTTTTTACTACTTTAAATCGTTAATTTTACTATTCATCTGCTTCACAAAAAATAAAGGTTTTTTTTGGATGTTTAATTACATTACTTTGTGAAACAAATTTTTAATTTGTATTTGACATACTTTTGTCAGCAAGAAGTATAATTTCCAATTAAAAAGAAACAAATTTTCTTTAAAAAATTGTTGATCAAGAAACGTTGCAAAAAATTTTTTAAATTAAAATTATATTAATAATGTAAATTTTACAAACGTTAAATTTTTACTGAAAATAAGTTTCGCATGAATCCAATAATTTTTGAAAAATTCGTTCACTATTTGTAACACGCTCTGAAAAAAGGGACCTTAGAAGCTTAGAAGCATCCAAAATATTTAATAAAAACTGATTTTAATTTTACAAAAGTAAAAGGAAACTATTAGTTCTATTCAGAGCGCGTAAAATTTAAAAATTTTGTAATCTAATGTCAGATTCTACGAGCCTAGAAATTTCGGAGTAACAAGTTTCAGGCACCTTCCATCAATGTTTTTTTTTAATTTTCCGACATTCTGAATTTTGAAAAATCTGACTCCGAATTCCTAATCAGCGATCTCGAAAACCTCTAATTACCAAATTTGATGTAAATTCATCAATCTTTATAAAAATTTAAATCTTTAGTTAAGAAAACAAAAAAGCATAAAATAAATCTTTTTTTTACAGGCGGAGGGTTTCGTTATAGGAAGTTGTATAAAGCACATACCAATTGCTGGTAGAGATATTACGTACTTCATTCAAAGTCTTTTAAGAGAACGTGAGGTAGGAATTCCTCCCGAACAATCGTTAGAGACAGCCAAGACGATCAAAGAAAAATATTGTTATATTTGTCCCGATATTGCGAAGGAATTCGCAAAGTTCGACAGTGATCCTAGTAAATTCCAAAAGTTCGAAGGCGTCAATAATATTACAAAACAGCCCTTCGTCGTGGATGTCGGTTACGAAAGGTTTCTCGGACCAGAAATTTTCTTCCATCCAGAGGTGAGTTTATCAATTATTCAAGACAAAATATATTTATTATTATAAATTATTATTACTGATGTGCTTTTTCTTAAAATTCTTTATGATTTTACTTTCTTCATTATTTTTATTTATTGTCGATAGGGCTACAATCATTTAAATCAAAGGATAATTTATATTTAATATATTTTTCTCATTCAATTTTATAGGTCCTAAATTTTAAAATTCAACTTTTAATTTATTGTCGAATACTTTACTGACATTTAATTTAAAGTTAGTTATACCTTTTAAAAATAACAAATTTTTAAAACATAACTTTTTGAAGTAATTATTAAGAATATCTTTGCGTCAAAACTATCATAACCAGTTAATGGAATATATAAAAACGTATCGATTGATTTATTTGATAATTTTACTATAAATTATTACAAAGTATGTTACTTTCTAAATCTGAATTAATAAAAATTTTAACTAATCTGAATTAGTGACTCACTTTTTGTTTTCGAATTAGTAAAATTTAACTAATTAACAGTCAAAAAATATTATTTTACTATCGAATTATTAAAATTTAACTGATTCAAAAGTAAAAATTGGATCACTAATTGAAATTATTTAAAGTTTTTACTAATTCAAATTTAGGAAGTATTGAGGTTTCAAAAATCAAGAATTTTTTTTTTTAGATAATTTGAGTTAAAAATTTTTATACAAGTTCTAATATAATTTAAAGAAAATACATAATTATTCAAACTTTATTTCGGAATTATTGTGATTTTTTAAAAATCAACAATTTTAAAAAACCTGAATTGTTGGACAGTTTTAATTTTTAATTAAGAAATGATACTTTCTTTGAAAAAAATAAATATATTTCCTAATAGTTGTTTTAGTAAATGTATCGTATAAGTATTTATTAAAAAACAAATTATTTAAAAATTAACTTTTGAAAAATGTTACGTAAGTAAAAATAAATTTGATTTAAGTAAAAAAAATCCTGATTTTTATCAGCTCTGATTGTCGAGTCACTTTAAGTCAAATTAAAATATCTAAGAAATTTCTTTATCTTTGATATTAAACAAAAAATAATTATTGGAGAAATAAGAAAGATTTGTTTTTATAACATAAATAATTTAGGTCATAATTAACTGTTGTTACAATAATCGCTATTTTTTACAGTTTTCAAACCCAGATTTTACCACACCGCTCAATGAAATCGTCGATGATGTTATTCAAAATTGCCCCATTGACGTTAGGAGGCCTTTGTATAATAATATAGTCTTGTCAGGTGGATCGACAATGTTTAAAGACTTCGGCAGACGATTACAACGAGACATTAAGAGGACAGTGGACGCAAGATTAAAACTGAGTCAAAAACTCAGTGGTGGCCATATTACGGTAATTATTCAAACAAAATCAAATAAAAACTTGTTTTTTAAATTAAATTATCATTTTCACTTGAATTGAATTGAAAATTGAATTATTTAGTTCAAAATAAATTATTTTGCTCAGAACTACTAATTTTTGTTTGTTTTAAGATTTAATTTAAATAAAAATTAAGTTTTTTCAACAATTTGCTTGTCACGTCAAATTTTTCTAATGAAAATATTTGTTGTTTAGCCAAAACCAATAGAGGTTCGTGTATTGTCACATCATAAACAACGCTGTGCAGTTTGGTACGGAGGTGCATTATTAGCTAGTGATCCCGAATTCTACCAAGTCTGTCACACTAAACAAGACTATCAAGAATATGGTCCAGGAATTTGCCGTTACAATCCAGCCTTCCGTAGTATGATATAAGGATTTTAAAAAATAGAATAACGCCAAAGGAGCGCGTTAGTTTGATCGAACGATGAAACTTAAACCGACGACCTACCTAAACGAATTTTTAATAAAATTTCGTTTGTTCTGCATTTCGTAAAACTACCGACCGTGTCCAGGAACGATCAAACGGGTCACTAAAATCGTGCAATTAATTCTTACGTAAACTGCCCAGAGTATTAGTGAACGTACAAGGAAGTCTTACATCTGATGCATGAAGATAAACTAACTGAAGATTTTAATCAAGTAACAAAAAAGAAAAAAAATGAAGCCTGCATTTAAAAGAGGGACTTTAGATAATCAAGGTATTATTATTAATTACTATGGCTACACGAATGACTAAAATGATTAAGTGAACTATGAAAACAATTGTATAGAATATGTACATACGAAGCGTGTGTTAAAAGAATCAACTTTTTAAAATAATATCTCTGTTTTCAAGAACCTAAGAACTCCTCAATAATTTCTCAATGAGCTGTAAAAAGACACACAGGCGCGTTTCCCATTGTGTGAATGTTGCCAAAACTTGTTATTGTAGCTAGGACTATTTAGAAATAAGACTAGATACTTACATTTATTAAAACTGTTATATTACAATCTCGAATTCCTTGCCTTTGCAAATTAAAATAATACATTTTTCACATCGACGAATTCGAATACATATTCAATGATATTCTTTCAAAGAGCATCAAGCTCGACAGATTCGAATACATATTCAATAATATTCTTTCAAAGAGCATCAAGCATATTTACAATAATTATTATATCTATAAACTTCATCAAGATCTCAACTGCATTAGAAACATATTTAAATTATTCTTTCCAATTAAGCTGGTGACATTATTTTAGGCATTTTCCTCAGGATTATCTCTGAAAAAAGACCATTTTTTAAGCATTTTTATTATTTGTTAGTTTTTTCAAAAAAAGATAGTTACTTGTTTTTAAGAAATTCAAAAACTGATACAAAATTTTGTTACCAATATCGTGAATCAACTTAATTACTAATTCTTTTATTGCTCAATAATTCAAATAATTATATTTTTAAATAATTTTAACTTACCCAACCAAAAAGCCATTAAAATCTGGCGTGTTACCTCCCACGTCTCTAAACAAAGAGGTAAAAAATAAAGATAAAACATTTGAAGCCTCATTTATTCTCCTTGAAGCTCTGGGATTAGAATAAATATCAATTGTTTCCAGAGGGGGTAAAGGATCGTAGGATAAAATTGGTCCATTACTTGGAGCTTGTTGAGTCTGTGAAATACAAAAAAAAATTGATAAGTAAATTTTCAAAATTTACTACAATGTATGTAAAGTGTAACTTTGTTAATATTGCAAAATTACTTCTGAAACCGCGATGGTTACACCTTTCAAATCCGAGAGAATAATGTGTCTCAATATATTTCTCGGTAATTTCCCTTGATATCTTTTGATACGTTTATTTTGGTAAAATTTCACAGCCTCATCTTTAGAATCCACTCTGTCTAAAACAATGTTTACTTGTTTTTCAAGCCAAGGAAGAACCTCGGCTTCTTTCCACACATGATAAGAACGATTTACAAATAAATCCTGCAATTTTTCTAAAGATGGTGAAGTAGTATTGGCAGCTTTACTATTAAAATAATCATGTCCTTGAACCTAACAAAAAAAAAAAAAACGAATATTTTTTGAATTGAAAAAATATTTTCAAAATAATTTGTTCCACGAACAGTTTATTCATAATTACGATTAATTTTGATTTCTTATCTAATTTAAAATTAATTGATTAACATGAAAAACTAAATTAGTTCGGGGTTGCTACAAAAATTTCATTATAATTTTCCCTTTTCTATCAAATTAATTCTATTTAAAAAAATTGTGATAAATGAAAATTCAATCAAATGAGAATTATGTTAAACAAATATTGTATAAAGAACAATTCAAATTCTTAAAGAAATTCACTTACATATTTTAAAAAGTTTAAAGAAATATCAATATTTCAATTATTTTGAAATATCAAAATTAAATTTTTACGAAAAATTTGTACCTACAAAGTTTATTATATACTTTTAAATATTTGCCAAATTTTCAATTGAAAATATTTTAAAATTTAAACATTAATAAAAAATTAAACTTCTAAACTACAACAATTTAATTAATTAACCAAATTTTAACAAAAATTCTTCGAAATTTTAATAATTTGAAAAAATTTTTAATTAAAAGTTCTCTAAAACTCAATTATTGTTAAAAATTTGTAAAAAAAAATTTCAGCAATTCAAATTTATAAAAAATTTCAATTTTAAAGCTTCTGAAATTCAATTAATTTTAAAAATATTTATAGAAATTATTATTTAATTATTTAACGGTCGCTGGACACATTGATTTTTAACACATGAACATATTAGGTACTTTATAATAACAAATCTAGGTTTATAACATTTTTCCATCACTTTTTTTAAAATTCCCTGACTTGTGGCAACCCTGCAGTTAAATGATGGAAAGTAAAGTGAAATTTATTAAAAATGATGAGCCAAAAGTATTGAATGTTCATATGAACGATATTTTTTTTCAACTTCTTCGAGTACGAATTTTATTACAAAATATTGTTTAAAATATCTAAAAAGAAGTTATTAATTTAATAATTGTTTAATTCACTGTTTTATTTTACGTGGTCATCATAATTTTTAATAATTTATAGATTGAAAAAAATAATAATAATAATGAACGTTCAAAACTTTCAGCTCATTAAAAATGAATTTAAATAATTTCCTACCCTCGAATCCGTTTGAACGCTGCATTTATCTAGCAGAGACATCAAAACGCCTGGAAACATAAGGAGAGCATTTTGAAGAAGTTCATTCGCAGTTTCTTGCTCTCCTAAACGAAAATGAGCGAGAGCTAAACTATAAGCGATATTTGGCAACTGAGTCAAATTTCTCGTGCTTTCCCATAAATTGCAGAATTTAATGAACCATTCATATTCTCTTGCTCTTAGGGCGTAGAAATCAATCATTAAAACAACAGCAAGTGGATCATCTACTGGATCTAGCGACAGGAGGAACTTAGAAAGTTCTAAACTAGTCCTGTAAAAACATTTTAAATAACCTTTACCACACTGACATTTAATTTTTTTTCAGTAATGTTTTTTTATGTATTCCAAAATTTGTTTACGAATCAGTTTTTATCCGAAGTCAAATTTCTGAATTATTCTTTTCTTATTAATTATTCTTCTATACCGAATTGGAGAGAAAGAATTTTTATTTCGAATTGAGAAGAAATAATTCTAAATAAAAAAGATCGCATTATTAAAGTGTGTCTACCTGTAACAAGCTCTGCCGCCAACGAACGTGAGATGCTTGAAGAGAACAACATAAAAGGATCGATTTTGTTGTTTCCTGTAATCTAATCGATGATTTGCTGTCGTTAAATTAAAGAGGGGATGAAAGGCATATTCGAGGGTGTATAAAGCTCGTTCAATTAGTGCTGCAGCTGTTGCTAGATCCTCACTTAGCTTGCAAAGCTCGGATAATTGAATAAGCGCATCAACATGGCACGGATGTTGATTTACCATCGACTGAAAAAATATAATAAAGACACAATATTTTTCATGATCAATAATACAAAAATTGTTCAATCGAAATAAAAAAATTTCTAATTTTATATTTAAATAAAAAATAATAAATTTTTATTTGTACTCTTGATTTTTAAAATTGAAAATTGTATATAAAAATAAAATGAAAATAACTATTGAAATTATATTCTAATATGGCGATTAAATTAAGTGACTTATGTTTTTCTTTATTATTATCTTACAATGATGTTTTCGTGATCCGAACTTTCAACGGCTTGAATAAATTTCATTTGAGCTTGTCGATATGATGGTCCGTGTTCGTACATAAAATATTGAATACCACCTTGCGATGCCATTGAAGTATCTAACATCATGGAAAGGCCTGTTTTGGCGAAAGGCAACCAACTGTCTTTTGGCGAAACCAACCATGTTTTTTTTAAATGACCCGTTCGTCTTTTACCCCTTTGTTTGCTGAAAAATCACCCAATTATTCACAAGTGATGAGAAATAATTTCTACTTATTTATATAATTTCTGATTAATTAATTTCACCTATATGAAAGAATATGTTAAAGATGGAAAAGAAATCAGTCAAGCTTCTCATTTTATAAATGAGATTACAACTATTTTATAAATAAAAATTAAATTTTCAATCTTTTTTAACAATACTTAATAACAAAAATAGTTTTTTAAATAATTTTATTCTAACAAATTTTTAAATAAAATGACTAATAATTTATGATTATATAAAACATTATTAACATTTTTTTTTAATACTGACCTGGAAATAAGATTTTGCAAAAAGTTTTAAAGTGAGCTTTTTGCTTAAATAATTTGATAAAAAAAATTTGTATAATATTATATTATTATTATTGAAAATTTTAAACTTTTGTTTAATGAAATTGTTATTCTTCCATATTATTAATATTAATTTTAAAATGTATATTAATTGCAAATAATAAAAACATAATTAAATCTATAATAAAAAAAACTATCAACAAAAATTGCTCACAAATAAAAAATATAATAAATATACGTATATAAATGGAAAAATACTTGTTATATATTGATTCACATTCACATAAAATAACAATTTATATTGATGAATTTATCAATTGATCGAGACTTATATATATGAAGACAACTCATTCTTTATGAGTCAACTACTTGATTTATTCTTCATCAATATAAAATAATAATGATTTATCTGCAGAAATACAAGAAGAAATTTTTTATAAAATAATATTCTTAAAATATCACTTATAAATATTGAAAAATTTAGTAAGATTTCAAAACTGCAGAGAAAAGTTTCTTGAATTTAAATTACGTTGATTCAAATATCATTTTTACTGAAAGAAAGCAGTTAAACGTTAATTATAAATAATATGAATAAATTTCCAAACCTATTAGAATTTGAATCTAATGGTATTTTTGAAATGAAAATAGCATATTTATTTGTATATGCTTAGGTCAAATTATACTAATTATTGTTAAAAATAGGAAGCACATTCAAATATTTTTTAGTGCTGCTACTTATTATGATTAATCATGAATTTTTTTTTATGAAATAAAAAATGTGTAATACTGCTAGTAATAAATTAATTTAAAAAAATGAGGAGCCAACTACTCTAAATGTATAAACAAATAATAATTAATATCTTTCTTGTCCCAAAATACCAAATATAAAATAAGAAAAATAATAAAGTGGACGACCCCTAAAAAAATTATCTTTAAAAAAAAACAACTAACTTTTCTTCGGCTTGAACTGTTTTACTTCCAAATATCCTTTTGAGTTCATTGATTGGATTTAAATGTTTATGATGCACTGACAGAACTTCTTCTTTAGATTTAAGAACAATCGATGTTGAGTCTTCAATGACTACTTGGCTTGTACTAGGAGTTGGTTCACCAAGTAGTTTATTAACTTCACGCACTGTTCTTTCGATCTCATCTTCTGAATCAATTTTTGTTGCACCAACATTTTGCGAGGCATTTTGATTACGATTTTTGCGTTGACGTTTCTTTTTTTTACGTTTTATTTCTTCTTTTTGTCCTTTTTCAATATTTTCTTCCTCTTCTTGACTTACTACATCATTATCGTCTGTAATGTCTTGTTTTTCGTCTTCAGATGAATTATTTAACTATCGGATTCAATCAAATATGTTAAATTTTTTCTTAAAAATCATACAATCCTTTATTTGTTTTAAAACAATTTAATGAATAAATAATACTAATACTATTAGTATGGAAATAATACTATTATTTTTATTAATATTACTATTTTTATGCGTATTATATATATACATAAAAAATGTTCACAACAAAAAGAAAATAAAGACTATATAATCATTTTGAGATACTGTAGATTAAATCTTTTATGATTATATTTGAACCATAAGAAAAAGTACAGTAGATTCTTTTTAGTTGCTTAGATTGTAGTTTTATAATTAAATGTAAATTAAATGAATTTAAATTATATAGATATATCTTTATCAAATTAGAGGTTTTTAGGTTAGGAATGTAAAGTATTTTATTTTGTCAAACTCACCAAAGTGAATGTGTTGAATTTTTTTTGTTTAACGTCTCGAATTGTTGTTTCTTCATTATCACTTGTATCATCAAAATCATTTGTTTTTGGAAATACATTTGAACCATAAACTTTTTTCATATATCGCGTGGACATTGCGATTATACACTCTTTCTCTCAGCTGTTAATGTTTACTCCAAACAAATACAAATTTACCTAAATAATTTACTTTTATAATTCATTAGTTAGTGAAGATTTTTAAAAAATAGAAAATAAAAAAATAACAAATTCACATGAAAAGAGTTAAAATATTTAACTCCAAAAGTAACTTTTCACGATTGTTAAAAAAAAATTGTGTAATAACTAGTTCACTTATAAGAAATTGCACGTCGAATAAAGCTTACTGATTGGTCAATTTTTCCTGAGGAACCAATCAGTGAAGGAAACGTAATTTTCTGATTATTCTCGATGAACTTTGCTTTATGATTATTATTGTCAGTGACACTAGCAAGTGAAACACATATTTTGACAGTTGAAAATTTATCAAGTTTATTTATTATCAAAATAACAATTAAATTATTTAACAACTTTCAATTACCAGTGTATTTTAACACAGTTTGACAGATATATAATTATTGCAATGGTTCATGTTTCTGGAGGTAAGTAGAAAGATTTTTTTAACTGAATATCAACCAGGAAATGACTTATCTGTTTTTGATATATTAACTTTAGTAAAATGCTTCTTTTATAGCATTTTATTAATACTATGCGTTTAAAAATATTATAATTACTTGAATTTTCATTAATTAAAAATCTATATCTTTAATGCATATCGTCATATAATTATACAAAAGTCAATAAAAATAAAAATAAATTTTATCAATCTAAATATTAATGAAAAATGAAAATTATAATTAATTAATTTTGCAGATGGACAAGTGGTTTCATCCAGACCCTGGAGTATAACTCGTTTTGTAGGAGAAATATTCAATGCCATCACACTGTTGTAAGAACATATTTTTAAAGGAATTAAATATGAGAATAAATAATAACATAATTAAAAAAAACAAATTCGATTTTACCTTTTAGTTTCAGTACACTAATTAGTCCAGCCTCAGGCCATTACAACAGTGGAAATTATTCTCGAGGATCTGGATCTGGTGCTGGTTCTGGGTAATTATTTCTTATTGTTTATTAAAATTCTTTAACAAACAAAATTTACAATTAAAAATTTTTCCTTTTTATAGATTCTAATTTTTTCACTGTTTTAATCATTAAACAATAATAAATCAATTAATTCATAACAAGAAACAAAAAATTTTTTTTACACTCTTACGAATTATTGTGTTTTTTTCATATATTTTTAATTGCTAAGAAAGTGACAATTTTCCGTACCTACTCCAATTCAAGCTCATATTTTAAGAAAAATAATAAAAAATTTGATTTTTTATTTAAATCAAATTGATTTTTCCTTACACCACATTTTTCAAAAGTTCATTTCTAAATTAGTTGTTTTTAACAAAATATTTAAACGATAAATTTAATAATAGAAGCTTCTAAAAAATATTTAAATTTTGTATCCACTTTTTATCAAAGAAAATAACAATTTTTGAATTAAAAACTAAAATTGTCCAACAATTCATGCTTTTAAAAATTTTTAATTTTGAAAAAGTAAATATTTTTGTAATATTTTACCTTAAAAAGTTTTAATTACTATAGATTTTGTTTAGAAAATATTCGAACTAATATAAAAATTTTGAACTAAAATTATTCGAAAAGAAATTTCAATTTTAAATGTTTTTTATTTTCAACTCTAATAACTTTGTAATAATAGTAAAATTGCTTGAATAAATCAAACGGTACGTTTAAAATATATTTTTTTAATTAATTGTAGTAATATTGACGTAATATACAGATTTTTAAACAAATACTTTAAAAAGTAGTTTTTTCAAAATTTTATATTTGAAAAGGTAAATAATTTTGCATAAAATATAACTTGAATATTAAAATATTTTCAATTTAAATCATCACGCAGTTCTGAAAGAATTATCTCTAAAAGTATCATTTTTTTAAAAATTAGGCTGCAACAACTTTGGTCAAAATATAATGATCTATACTTATAGTTTGTTGTGAATTTTTCATTTTATATAATTTGTTATTATTGTGTCTCTGTTTCATTATTTCAATTTTTTCCTATTAATTTAGTCTACATTTAATTTAAAAATACCAAAAAATTACAAATGTTTAATAATAGGCGAAAAGAAAATTTTAATTTAAAAATATGTAAGTAGTTTTATTTTTCTTATATTTATTAAAAATTTTTTGCAGTCCACGCCCACCACGACGACCAATCGGCAGGATAAATTTTGATGTTCCCATTCCTGGATGTCGAAGCTGTCAAGGTTAATGACAAATTATATAAAAATCATCAAATTAAATATTTACGAATGTTGTATAAATAATGACTCAAATATGTTGAATATCTGTCAATTTTTGTTTCTAAAAAAAGAATCTTATTTCAATTTATGAAAAATGACTCACTCTTAAAAGTGATTTAATAATAAGAAATTAATAATATATTAATAAAGTTTATACCTGATTTATCAGCATAATTTTTTAAATTATATTCTACAACTAAGTAAAGAAAAATAAAACAGAAAATCGGATAAGTTGCATAATAACGATGTACAACTTTATTAGATATGTTAATCTTTACATTTAAAGTATCACAAATTATAAATGTTACCTGTCATATTATGCATTAAAGACAGGATCAACAAGTAAGAAAAACGGGACCGTTAAAAAGACCACATTATACACATTTATGTTTGTTGATCATTCTCGAGTGTTTTTTTTTTAATTGTATAATTTAAAAAATTCATTTTGAAAAATGTACAGATGAAAAATTTAATTCTTTTGCCTAAGGCTTTTCACATAAACACTATTAAAGACTTGTTAACCGTTTAGTGATTCATTTGATCTTAGTAACAAGACCGGCTGCGACCGTAGTGCCCTGCACTCTCAACATAACTCGGCCAAGTTGTTTAATATCTCTGTACAATTCCATGCAAATTGGTCTCTGTGTTACGATTTCGACGATTGCACTCGAATTTTTCGGTAAGCAACGAGGTTTCTTCTTCACTATTTCGCCCGTACTTTTATTTAATTGCGCGATTAATTTCGTCATCACTGCCGGTTCAATCAACGATTGCAGATGCATTACAACGGGCATTCCCTTTGTGATCGGATTTGTTATCGTAAAAATAACAATATGTGCTTGAAAACAGGACGTTACTGGTATTGGATGATGTACACTGCTAACAATATCGCCAATGGCAATATTTTGTTGTTCCACTCCCGATAAAATCAAAGTTGGCTGATCTCCGGCGAAGGCATGTGTCGTAGGAGATTCATCAATTTGAATTCCTAAAACAAAAATTTACTTCTAATTTCATAGAACTTTACAGTGAGTTTTGGAATATTTCTATTTAATTTTCTTTTTATTATTTTTCAATAAAAAAATTGTTTAACTCTAATTTATTTATTTTTTTTTTGAGTAATTATGAATTTACAAACCTTTCACTTGGGCTGATTCGTTTTGCGGTAAGATGACAACTTTATCGCCTATGGAAAGCAAACCAGTTTCAACATGTCCCGAAATGCAGAATCCGGAACTTGTGCCTTTGAAGATATCATTAACGGAAAAGCGAAGAGGTTTATCGATTGGTCGCTCTGGACATTTGAAGTTATCGATAACACCAACTAAAGTTGGCCCATTGTACCTATATTAATATTAATAATTGAATAATTAAAATTTGATACTTTTTAATATTTTCAATTAAACTCATTCAATTTTTAACTATTTATTAAAATCATTATTTTATCTTTTTTTATAAATAAGATGAAAAATTAAGTTTTTATAAAATATATAAATAAACACTAAATAAATTAAAACATTTATTTCATATTAAAATAATTAATTTTTCTAAGACTTTTTAGATTCAAATTTTAAAAATAATTGAATTTTGGATGAGCTACACTTTTTTTTAAAAAAGTCAGGTATTTTGTTTTTAATTTAATAAATAAATTAATTTTTAATTTTATTTTCTAATATGTATAAGTGAAAAAAGTAAAAATAATCCGAGGCCTGAAATTAGTCTGCAACGACTTCGAGTAAAATATAATGAGATTACTCTTATATTATTATTAATGATTTATGATTTATTATAACTTACCAACTTGCAAGAACTTCTTTTGGCTTTGAAACAATGTTTTCACCAGATAAACCACTGGCTGGGACAAAAGTGACAGCATCCCTGAATCCTACTTGTTTCAAAAAAATGCTCATTTTATTAACAATTTCGTTGAATCTTTCCTTTGACCATTCAACCGTATCAAGTTTGTTAACAACCACTGCCAACTGAGAAACGCCTAAAAATGAAAATCCATAATATAATACATTTTCTATTTACCTAATTGAATTTAAAATTTACTTAAAAGTTATATTTCATTTAAGCAGACAATATTTTAAAATTATTTAAATTCTTCTTATAAAACTTTTACATTTGATTAATTTTTTTATTTTGAAATGTTATGTATTTTATGTTTATTTTAATACAAATTACATGACATTTTACGGTTTATTAAATTATTAATCAGTTTTATTATTATTCAAATTTAAAAAATTGTTTTAAAAATGTATTTTAAAACTCAAAATTGGTTATGAAAATTTATAAATTTATTTGTATGCAAATGTACCTACTAAGTTTTTTTTATTTTATCTGAATAAAAAATTTTGTTCTCATAATTATTTTTATTTTTAAATTCTGTAGCAGAAATGAATTACCTAAAGATCGTAAAAGAATAGCGTGTTCTCGAGTTTGGCCGCCACTATCAAATCCAGTTTCAAATTCTCCTCTAGTTGCATCCACAACCAAAAGGGCAACATCAGCTTGAGTGGCGCCAGTTATCATATTTGGTATAAAATCCTTATGACCTGGTGCATCAAGCAAAGTTATACATTTTGTACTGGTTTCAAATTTTGAGTGACCCACGTCCATTGTGATTCCTCGTTCTCTATAAGATTATTTTCAAAATTATTTAAGTGAATTTTTTTTTATTTTTTTTAAATGAAAATTAAAATGACTTATTAAAATATCTATTAAGACGAAAATTAAAAAATTAAATAACAGAATACCATTACCTCTCTTCGCCAGTTTCATCGAGAACCCAAGCATAAGCAAAGGATTGTTTGCCAATTTTTTTACTCTCCTGTTGATACTTGTGAATCAATTTGGACGAAACCTGTCCCAAATCACAGAGAAGTCTTCCTAGTAAAGTACTTTTCCCAGCATCGACGTGTCCCACGACAACCAAATGCAATTGTTCCTTGGAATCTCCTCGTTTCTTCCTGTAGATAGCAAAAGCGTCTTTCTCTTCAGCAATCTTATTTCTTGAATCCGGTTCAGGTGATGCTGTGCCAGAAATTGGAGACTGACATCTGGGTGTACCTGATTTTGAAAATCCAGATTTTTTCTCCTTGAAACTCGAATCATCCCTCCTCCTAATATCAGGCGAATTTCGCTCCGAGCTTGGACTTTGCGAACGTGGACTTGATATTCGAGAATGAAGGAGTTCTGTATTTTCCGTGCCACTCAAATCAAAACCCTTAACGATTGAACGAGCAGCTGCTGGAACGATTTTTATTGCTGGTTTCGCTAATTGCGAAGCTGATTTTGGTGTCGACTTGTTACCTAATAAAACACTCAATTCAATTAAAGCTAAAGAACTTTGAATCCCTTATCAATGAGACTCTTGCTTATGATTCTAAATTTTCTCTTTTTATTTAGCACAATTGTAAATACAAGTATATTATTTTATAATAACTAATATACAAATACAAAACTTCTCATTTAAGATAATATTACAAAAAAAATGTAGAAAATTTTGATGAAGATCAAACATTTTGAACTAATGGCTAAAATAGAAAAAAAGAGTCACGTATTTATAAAAATTTTATAAAAAGAAATATCGCACAAAAAATGAAGACAATTTTATTTTATATAATTGAGCAATTAAACATTTTATTTTAATGAAGAAAAAAATATCATTTTATTTTACACGTTTGACACAAGAATAAATTTCTAAATTTCAGTTTCATTTTCCTAACATTAAAAAATTTTCATTGATAAAAATTTTTAAATAAATTTAGTGAATTATAATAGAAATTTAATAATGATAGTTAAACACAATTAACGTTCAAAATTACTAATTTGTTTCTATTCAAATTTTTATTCATTGAAATTTTTCATAAATTATTGAAGAATTAATGGTTTAAAATTTGGGTAAAATGAATTTTGGATAAATTGAGGCTACCCTGCTTTAAATTTATTAAATTAAAAGTAAAAATGAAATTATTCACAATATTTTTAATTTATAAACTTTTACACTATTAAGAAATAATTATTAATTTTCCAAAATTCGAATAAATATAAATAAATAAACAAATACAAAAACTGATAAATGATAAAAAATTATTACGGTAATTTGTAAACTGATGTAAAATAAAAAAATAATTTTTAAATCACCAAATTTGTCTATTTCACTAAAATCCAATTTTTAATGGCTCATTTTAGTAAAAATTTAATTATTCTTTCTTTACTGAAAAAATATTTAGAAAACTAATTACTTGCTATTTACAAAAATGTTTTTTGATTTTGTGTCCAATTAATTTTTCCTACACCTTTTTCCTCAAATATTGAAGAATTTTACTATCTGGTGACAATTCCGAAAAGTCAAATCGTGTAATATGTGGAGAAGTTTGAAAATACCAAGCTTTACTTTTTGTAAAAGGTGTTTTCGTTTTCCACCTTCTACATAAAACTTTTCCCAGTGGAGATGCCTTTTTAAAAACAATGTCAACTTTTGTTTTATGTATATTACACGAACTTGAAACACTTGAATCAAGAATAATTACATTTTTTGAAGTATTTTTAGATTCTAAAGTTTGTGGACTTTTCAAATTAAGATTTTCCGTCTCTTTCACGACTATTTCCATTTCGTTATTTAACATATTTCCCTTTTTATCACTACTTGTGTTTTGTTCTTCATGCAAAGTCAAGGAAGAAACGTCTTTTGTAACAATATTTACAATACTATCGGAAAAAGTATTTTTCAAATTTGATAAGTTTTTAAGAGGATTTTCCTCTTTGTTTGCATTTAATGATAAAACTTTCTGTTCTTTGTTCAGTGAAAAAAATGGTTTGCTCGATTTACTTAAATGATGAGAAGTTAAATCTGACAATGAAGTAAATGACGGAGGATTTGTCGATTTTACATCCGATGTTAATTTTGTTAAATTCAATTTTTTGTGACCCTGAATCAAGTCAGATAATGAGGAACATTGTTGTGCTTCGTTATTTTTTTTTAAAGAATTTAAATTTGAAAAACCGGAAAATTTTGGTGAATCTTTTTTAGTATTTAAGACCGAAGAAGAACTCAAACTACTCAAAGATTTTAAATTACTTAAAGGACTCATGGATACATGTTCCTTGGTTTGATCTTGATCAAATTTTGATTGTTTTTGAAATGTTAATTTTGGAATTGTAAATGCATGAAGTTCTGTTTTGCTACCAAGAGCCGATTTATTAAGTGAGAGATCTTACCTTACCGACAAACGAAAACAGCACATGAAAAAGAACAAGAAAAATTACAAGGTCATAATTTTTTTTTTAACAATTTAATTTTAAGAATATTAAAATTAGATTAAAAACATACCTAACGAAAAATCCAAGGGACGTTTATTCGGTGTTTGTTCTGTAAATTATAGAAATTTATTTAAATTCGATAAAAATTAAAATGGAAATTGGTAGAAAGTAACAAAAACATTTTCTCGCATACATTTCTAATAAAAAGAAGTGCAGTAAATTATGAAACTTTTAAGAACTAAATATTTGTCATTTGGAAGACATTTTTTAAATATATTTATACCTTCGGTTTTCTTAGATGAGGTAGAATTTAGAATAGCATCTAAAACCGCTTCCGTATTGTAGTCAAACTCTATAATTCGTTTCTTCAGTTCAGATTCTGCTACCGTGTCACCAATAACGGTTCTAATTGAGTCGATACAGGACATTAATTTTGCAGTGTCTAATTCGCTAAGAGTTGGAGTTTTATAACTAGCCAGTTGATCTTCATGTTCCTCTTCATTGCCTTCTGCAATATTCGGCTCGGTTATGAAAGATGAAATGTTGGCCTGCTTATTTCTGTCATACATAAACTGTTCAGCTGAAAATTAATTTTAATTTAATTTATATTATAATTTTAATTATAATTATTTAATTTATTATAATTTAAATTTACGAGTTGGTCAAAAATATAACATTATTTCTTGATTTTCCTATTTCAGTTTCAATATTTAAATTACAGAAATTAAAGAAATAAGTTGCATCAACTTATAAATTTTTAATATTTAAATTATAAAAATTAAAGTAATAGGTTGCAGCAACTTATAGTTAAAAATTATACAATTAAATAAAAATCAACATTTTCGAGATCCGCTTTTCTTGTAAATTCTAGTTAAGTATCTTCAAAATATTTCTATTAGCATTTTATAAAAATTGACAATTTTATTTCTTGGAATTTAAAAATATAATTACTAAATTATAATATTGTAATTAGCACTTAAACATCAGAAAACTTACCACCAGGAGACACGCAGTAATCGTCTTCCACAGAATGTCCGTAAACATCATCGTAACCATCATATTCTGGAAAATTAAGTTTTAATTAAACTCAACGAATGTAAGATATCTTGAAAATATTTTTCTAAGAGAAAAAACTGAAAATCTAACTTTTCAAATAAGTAAGTCATGGGAACTTAACCTCAATTAATATCACTTACCATCCGAATAATTCATACAACGAACGTCTCTATGTCTCGACATTTTTACTGAATATGTTTATTTATGCTGTGTTATAAAATAAAATCACTGTATTTTATTTACGCTTTTTCATTTTTTTTTCTTTCTAAACAAATGGTATGCAATGGCATGCAATATGTCTCGATTTTACGTAGGATGATGATGTGTGTGTGGGAAGGAGAAGGAAAAGTCGAGTTTGGTCAACATCGACTTTTGTCGATATAGCCCTCTTCTGGTTTGGATTTTTATTTTTTTAATAAAATCAAGGAAGTAAAGTAAAGTAATGTAAATTAAAGGAAAAAAATTAGATATTATTCTAGTTGCTCCTGGAATTTTTTTTTTAAAAAGTTAAAGTTATTTCAAAAATCGACTTTTAAAACTCGAGGACTCAGAGTCGATTGTAAAGTCGAGAGTCGTTCGAGTTGCAATAATCGATTAATTTTTTGCTAGATATTGATAATCGATTTTCGGTTCACGGAAAACCGAGAGAGAGCGCCAAAAAACTCTCCCCACTTTGCCGGTCATCAATGACTTTTTTCATTGGTCCGCGTTTAGCCAATAAGATTACTGGGACTCTGAAGCTGTGGTGGGGATAGAGAAGGAACTGCGAAGCGGAGTGTCAGTCTGCGTTTGCATAAATTCGTTGCGCTTGAAGGGTTTGGAGGGGGTTCAAGAATTTGCAATATTTAATAGAAAAAATGGCGCTAATGTATGCAAAATGTGCAACATTAGATGGGGGGGAGTCGAAAATGGTTAAAAATAGTGCAACGTAATTTATGGATGGCCCCTTTGGTCTTCGAAGAGGTAAGTAGGAAAAATTAATAAATTATTCTGTTGTTTTTTCTTTTTCTCATTCTTACACAATAGATTATTTTATTAAGAACTTCCTAAATTTTTGTATCTTTGGATTAATGTAGTTTTTTAATTACTAGAATTTACTTAGTTTCGGAAGAAAAGTGTATTACTGTAACTTAATTGTTTATTCTAATTTTTGTCTTGTCTTCTATTTTACAGCTCATTGTCAAGAGGTTGAAGCAATCTGAAAGACAACAAAATACAAAATAGTGAGGATAATTTGAGGTCTGCCATGAAACCATCATATAAATCTCGCAGAAATACTTGATCTTGAAGAAGAAAACTACAAAAAAATCGGCTGCAGCAGAGTTTATGTCGTGCAACCATTATTACAACGACGTAGAAGTTCGCCCATGGTGAGTACTAAATGTTTTATTTGCCACTATTGTGATGTCATTTCTAAGTTTCTGAACAATGTGTCGAAAGATTTTAGAATTAAGTATTTTTTTTACAATACTAAATGAAAAACTACGGTTCACTAATCATATATATATCATATTAAATGATAAATAAATATAAGGTTAGGATTCCTGCCAATATATCAATAAAGTATTGGTGTTTTTTTTCACATTTGTTTTGCCTTTGTCAGCTTCTTTTAACCCCAGATAGTATACAACATAGCTGGCTTATACGTATAGAAGTATACAATTGGTGTAAAAAACAAATTTAATATATTTAAATAGTTTGTGAATAGATAATAGTTTTATTTCTCCATTGTGTACTTTTACAAAGTATTACATTTTTTTTCTCACAAGGCCCACAAGCTTAAAAAATAAAATAATAATTGTGAATAAAAGTGAAATACATCAACATAAATAATCAAAATTGTAGTTTGTGAATAGTGGAAAGTGTAAATATTTGACCGTAAAGTTTTTAAAGTGTTTTTATGTGAAGAAATATTAAATCAGATAAGTATTTAAATAATAATATTATTTAAACATTTTTAAATATTTTTTTAAAATTTATTTTCGTTTTTAATTTATAATTTTTAGTTTATTAATTTAATTTTCTGGTACAATTTTATTTTTTTCCGTTAACTTATGTACTTTTTTATTTATTTATTTTTCGTTAAATTTCACTTTTTCGATTGTAGCGCTTCAGTTACGGTGGACATTTTTAAAACATACGTTTGCTTCAAAGGTATGCATTTTCTTCCACAGTGAGGTTTCAGATCTAAGAAATCTGTTTATAATGTTCTCTAAATGAGTGACAGATGTCAAATTACTTGTGCTGGAAATTCCCATAATAAAGTCTGATATAATTTTTTAATAAAAATGGTTGATGAATCGACGAGAAAAACATTAAGTAGCATTCCTTTATTGCAAACTAAAGCTGGACCCCGTGAAAAGGATTTATGGGTTCAAAGATTAAAGGAAGAATATCAAGCGTTAATAAAGGTAAGGTTAAAATTAAAAATAAATAAGTTCCCATATGGTACAGATTCCTATAACCTAAGTAAAATGTAAGAAATTTACAAATTAATAATTAAATTAAATTAATTAATCTATTTCTTATCATCAATTGTTCAATTTAATTAATGTTGTACCATTAGACAATTATTATTTTTAATTTTTTACAATTTTGTAAAAAATTGTATTTTTTAAATTAAATTTGTTTTTAGTATGTACAAAACAACAAAGCTGCAGATAATGACTGGTTTCGTCTAGAATCAAATAAAGAAGGAACAAAATGGTTTGGAAAATGTTGGTACATTCATAATCTTCTCAAATATGAGTTTGAAGTTGAATTTGACGTACGTAATTATAATATTTTATGTTTACAAATTATTACATGACTTGATTTTTTCATATAAATTTAGAAATTAGTTTAAAATTTTTGTAAAACTTTTTTTATATAATTACATTTTTTATAGATCCCTGTTACGTATCCAACTACTGCTCCTGAAATAGCGTTACCTGAATTAGATGGGAAAACTGCAAAAATGTACAGAGGAGGCAAAATTTGTCTCACTGATCATTTTAAACCTTTATGGGCTAGAAATGTACCAAAATTCGGAATTGCCCATGCTATGGCCTTGGGTGTAAGTGAATTAAATTCTCCCCTTCTTTCTTTTCTATAAAAACTTTATTAAATATATTATTATTGTTTATTTGTATTTGAAAATTTATTTTTCTTTTTTAGCTTGGACCATGGCTTGCGGTAGAAATACCTGATCTAATCGAAAAGGGTATTGTATGTCACAATGATGAGGTAGATCAAGAAAAATAATTTTTTGTTAAATTTACTATTATGTACATAATTATTCACTATTTTCTATATTACGAAAGTTATTTAGTTTTCTTACCTATAATAATAATAAAAAATGATTTTAATACGAAAAATAATTTTACTATTTTATATTTGCCCTTTTAATATATTTTGCATATATTTTTGCTTTTTTACAATTTGTACAATATTTACAACTTTAATTGCATTATGATGTTTTTTTACTTGAACCCTTAATTTGATTTAATGTATTTTAAAGTTCTTTGGCATGAGGGTTCTATGAAAAAAAGAACAAAAACTTTTCCTTTATTTCATACGTTTCGGCAACTGATGTGTGCCTTCGTCAGTGAATATTTATTATACTATCTGTAATGATAAGTACAAATGTAACTGTAGAGTGGTGTTTAAAATTTAGATATTGTCGATATTTTAATTTAGTTGTTCAAATATATGAAATTAGTATAAAATTAAATTAACGTAGAAGTTATAAATAATAGATTTATATAAAGAATTTGTAATTAAATTTAACAATTTTTTAAACTGTAAACTTGTATAATAATAGTAAGAAAGATAAGGTGAAGGTGAGAAAAAATAATTTTTTTTTTTTTTTTTTTTTTTTATAATGTGTTATAGAAATTATATCCAAAGGAGAAATTTCATGCCAACAATTTTAACTTACAATCACATGTTTGAAGAAAGTAAGTTAAAATTGTTGGCATGAGATTTCTTCATTGGATATAATTTCTATAACACTTTATAAAAAAAAAAAAAAAAAATTATTTTTTCTCACCTTCACCTTATCTTTCTTACTATTATTATACAAGTTTACAGTTTAAAAAATTGTTAAATTTAATTACAAATTCTTTATATAAATCTATTATTTATAACTTCTACGTTAATTTAATTTTATACTAATTTCATATATTTGAACAACGAAGGCACACATCAGTTGCCGAAACGTATTAAATAAAGGAAAAGTTTTTGTTCTTTTTTTCATAGAACCCTCATGCCAAAGAACTTTAAAATACATTTACAACTTTTATAACGAATTTTTTTTTTTTTTTTACTATTTATCGTTATCGCTAAGTTTAATTTTTTTCGTTTCTTTAATAAGTTCATCGAGTTTATGAATATCTTTCAAAGATATTTGTCCTGTCCCGCGTTCTAATGGTTTTGGTTGCGATGGATCTGGTTTCCATCCAATCATAAAAATAATTTGAAAAGTCGCTGGTATATATTTTGAACCATCTTCTTTGGTTTTACCATATAATTGATTATAAATTGCTGCAGCAGCCATTGTTGTGTCTCTATTTAAATGCAGTTTACGATTTCTCGATGCATTGTTTTCTGCCATTCCTAAAATTAATAATTTGATGGTAAATAAACTTCATTTTTTAATAGAAAGACAGTTTTAGACAAATAGAAAAAATGTTGATAAACCTTTTAAATCCCACATAAGTTCGAACATAGTAGGATAACCCACAACAATTTCATCAGTATCTATTGTCAACATTGTAAATCCTGCCCTCGTCATTAGACTTCCAATGTCTCTAATTTCTGCAAAAGGTGAAATATGTGCAGCCACACCTCCTTCTCTTTCCATTTCCGCTAATTGCAAAGATCCTCTAATTAAATTATTAATATATTTATTAAAATTTTACCTCTTTTATAAGAGTTTTTATTGTCTTTATTCTTTTCAGGCTTAAGTAAGTAAGTGACATACTTTTTTACTTGTTTGATACTTTTTTTCAACAAGGCTACTTTTTTACTACTAATTTTGGCCAAAAGCCACTTAACGCTACTTTTTTCAAAAAATAATTTAAAAAAATAAAATTAATTAAATTAATTATTAATTAATTAATTAATTTAAAATTAATTAAATTTTAAATTTTAGCGAATTTTTTGATTCCTAAAAGCTCTTCGCCAAGTTGATGATTTATTATTGGCCGCGTGAATTACTGCTTTATATAATTATTTTTTACACGAATTTTCATTTTTCAAAATAGCATTTAACATATTAAACGATCATTTACTCAATAGAATTTTTAATTTGGCAATTTTTTTTGACAGAATTTTTTACAAAATTTCTCTTTACCTGTTTTTTTTTAATAATTCTAATTTAACCAAAATTCAGACAATAATTAAATTTTAGAGTATTTTGAATTGAAAAATGTTTTAAATAATTGAAATACCAAGATATTGATTAAAGTTATTAGAAATAATTATTTCAATAAAAAATTTGAATTAAAATTTTTAATAATAATTGAATTTCAGGAGATTTTAAATTAAAATTTTTGTAAATTAGAATTGCTGAAAATTATTAACAAAGTTTCAAACAGTAATTGAATTTTTGAATAATTGGATAAAATTTATTGAAATTATTAATTGAGCAAAGAATTTTAGATAAAAATTTTAGAAATAATTGAATTTTGTAAGAGTTCGAGTTAAGATTTTTAGAAATAATTGAATTTTTGGAGATTTTTAATTAAAATTGTTGTTTTAAAATACTAAATATATGTATTTTATATAAGCTTCCGATTCCAAGTTCTAGGATTTAAAAATTCGAATTAAGTACTTAAAATTCTACTGAATGAGAATTATAATAAATTAAAAATAGATTAAATTAGAATTCTGTTCAAGAAACAGTTGAGTAAAGAGAAATTTTGTAAAATAGAAATTCTGTCAAATAAAAATTCGGTACTTTGAAAAATCCGCTGAGTAAACATTCGTTTAAAAAAAATTCTGTGTTAAATGTTATTTTGTGAAATAAAAATTTATGTGAAAAATGATTTTTATGGAATAATCATATGCTTTTACCGTTGTGCCAAAAACAAAAAGTTAATCCAAATTTAAAAGTAGATAGTTTTTTAAAAAATAGTCAGGAGAAAAATGATGTTAATTTTATTCCTCAGAATTTTTCTTTCAATTTTTTTAGACAAGAAAATGTTTACACTTTAACGTCAAACTTAGAAAACTAATTCTATTTTATTTTAAAGATGCTACTTTTTTTCAATTTTGGGGATACTTTTTCATACTTTTCTTAGTCTCTTACGACGTTTCGAAGCCTGTTGTTTTAAATATCGCTTACCTAAGTTCGTAAAGTGTATCACCACCAAACATTGCACCGATAAAAACACCGTCCGGTTTCAAACAATTAATTATCCTACTAAAACATCCTGGTAGATCGTTAACCCAATGAAGACTCAATGAACTGACAATTAAATCCAAACTATTTGATTCAAGTGAAAATGTTTCTTCATCCATAACTTGTTTATGCACTTTAATTCCATCATCGGTAATATTAGCTTGCTCCAAAAAACTTGGACTCATGTCTGATAATATTACTTCTTCAATTGAATCACTGGTCATATGTTTTGACACATGTCCTCTACCACAACCTAAGTCGAGAGCTTTTTTAAATTTTCTTTTAACATCATAAATTTTATCAGCCAATCTATAACCAACTTCGTCCTTGATATAGTCATAGATTTTTGGATCCGGCATTTTTGCTGCACGTTCTCTTTGAAGTAATTTTGCATTTCTGTCAAATACATTCATAACACTGTTTGCCGGTAATGCAGAGACATGTTTAGTTAGTGTTAAATTTCTTAAACATGTCACAATAATGGGATTTTGTTGACATAATTGATTTGTAACAATTATATCGTTGAGGTTAATTCGAGTTTTGTTTTTAATTATTTTCAATGCACTGTATGATGAAGGTTGACAAAGCTTCAGTAGCATTTTACGTATTTGAGAAATTTATTCTTCACTTTGATAATTAAAATTTCAGTAATTTTCAGTTAAGAATAATTGTTTATTTTTTTTATGGCTAAATGAGGTTATGTGTTGATCACGGGTGACGCCATTTTTAAAATTCTCGAGTTCCCCTGTATGAGGGCAACCGGTTGTTCTTGTATGCGCTCGCATATAGCCTACTATCAGGGGCGTATTTTCAATTATTTATTTTTTGCAATTTTAATAAACAAAACTTTTTAATTGTAAAATAGAAGGAATATAAGTAATATAAATTTAAAAAAAGGAACAAATATTCTCAAGGAAAAGTATTGATAAAAATAATATATTTTTAAAAACAAATATTTTTAGTTTAAATTAATTTAATAATTTAATTAACAAGTGTGGATGTCTAAATGATAATAAAAAGTTCATTTAATAAATTTTTTATTACCAAATTAATTTTTTTATAAATATTATTTAAATTAATAAACTTTAAATAACAGTTAAACGTAAAATTTATTTAAACTAACATTTTTATTCAATTTTCGGAATTTTTTTTTTTTTTTTTTGACTGTCATTATCGGGCAATCGTATATTTTTTACGGCGGCATATATCAATGGCATGCGAGACTTAAGAATGTTTGTTCCATGACCGCCTCATTTGATGGGGCATCATGACAATGGCAGGTTATAAAAACTTGTGTTAAACTGTCCCACTTTTCCATGTTCCCTCGAAGCGTTGAATGGAATGCAATAACTTTAAATTTATCGTTGACTCGAATTGCCAATGTACATTGAAATTCAAACAATATTTGTTCATTCAACAATTATCCAAAACAAATAAACTTTTTTCGAAAATTCAACTAATCAAAAAAAATTAAAATCTAATTTCTAAATTAATAAAATTTATATAAAAACTATATTAAATTAGATTAAAAATATACTTTATAAAATGTAAATAGTAAAACGAAAATAAAAAAAAAAAATTAGCGAACATGTTTTCATTTATAAAAAATACGAACAATTTTTTCTGACTTAATGGAATGAAATAATTGCTTAAAATATAAAAATTTGTTAAAGATGAAATCTTTTGTTATACGTATGTATATAATTTAAAAGAAAAAAAAATTGCGAATGTCTTTTAGTATAATTTGGGAGTCTGTATCGTTGACCTAAAATTGAAATTCGAGACCACAATATAATGATCAGAAAAATGTGCCAGCAGTTTGAATCTGTTTGGGGGGCAAATGTTTCGAATTTTCTGCGAAGGGCCGTTATATCCATTTCAAAAAGGAGTCATCTTTATATATGTATAGTGAGGCCCTAGGGCCCCGCATTTTTACAATCATTATAAAGTCGAGCGTAGTCGCCCTTTTTCGCCTATTAGAATTACAAATACAGCTCATCTTTATAGGGTATATTCAAAGACGGCACGCGCCCTGGGCACAAAACTTTACCACAGTAATTTCTGGCATTTCGCGAGAAATTACTGGGCTTCAAAGTCTTAAAAGTGGACCAGCGGCGCTCCAACGTTATTGTCTGTTTGAACCGACTGTTTCACTTTGCTTATATATATATACCTATATTATTTCATTCCATTTTCTGTCAAAAGTTTTAAACTACAAACTTTACAACCAGAAAAAAAAGTTATACCCTTTACTTTGTATGTATATTAAATGAACGGAAATATATAGCTTGTTAATTAATATATTTAAAAATGGAGAAAAAATAAATTTTTCTTTGTATTTGCTTTTAATTATTATTTAATTATTTAATTTATTTAATTAATCACTATTAATGAAATAATAGGTAAAATAATAGCAAATGGCATATTCTCTATTTAATTAAAATTAACGAAAAAGATACAGTAAGACAATGAATAATAAATTAATTGAAAAATGAGAATGCAAATTAGCATTTTGAATAGAATATAAATAATTTGATTTTTAATTACTTAATTAAATTTTCGTGATATCGATTTATATAGAGAATAAATATAACAAAAAATTCAGACCCCTCTTTGAATAATTATTCAAGCGTAATTCATTTGGCATTCGAGTGCGATATTTTTAATTAAGTCTTCAATTTTAAGGATCCTCTTTAATTAATCCAGAATTAAATTAGACACTTACTGAAGATTTTTGTAAACTTAAATATATACATCACTTTTTAATTGAAATTATTAATTACACCAAGAGAAATCTTTCATTTACGTTTATTTGGGACAAATATAATTTATTTGAATTAAATAAAAATATATTTGTCTCAGAGCCTATACTCTTTAAATCTGAAAAAAATTTAAAAAATTTAAGGGCAAATAAATTTTTTATTCAAATCAAATAAAATTTATTTGAAACAAATATTTGAGATAAATACATTTTTTTTGTCATTAGAAGGCGACATAGAATTTCGAATTATAAAAATTTAATGTAATATTAAATTAATTCAATAATAAATGATAGAATAAAATACGAAATAATAAATTAATTTTATATTAAATTAATTAAAGTTTCGTCAAATTTGAATTTAGAGATAATTTTTTAGAGAAAAACCAAATGAAAACGTGTTGTAATGGAGAAAAGTAAAAGTTTTTACAATAGGGAATAATGTAATGAGAAAAGTTTGTTGAATTCTCATTACATGTATATATATTGGTTTGTCCGGAACATTTTGTCTCGATGTGTGGATTTATCTCCTCGTCTGGTTTGCAGACAAACCAGTTCGTCTTTTTGACAAAATCGACCTTCGTATACGTATACTGTTAAACTAGTTTGAAGCTTTTTCCTCGTTATGGACGAACAGGGACCGGAATGTAATTAAACTGATGGTCCGGATCCGCGGAAACCAAGACGCGTACAAGTACGCGTGCGTATACCTATATATATACACCATTAACTTTACATTCTATGTGAAAACCAACTGCTGGGTTTAAGGTAGACACTTGGGATTTACAACGATATTGAGTGTGTCGGACAGGGTTCTTCTGTTCAATAATTACTATTGCGGCTTCAAGCCCTTCCCTTGCATAGTTTTTAGTTTGTGAGTTTGCCTTACACACCTTCACCGCAATTACCAACGATCCTCTATATGTAAATTGAATTTCATTAAAAGTTCGAACAGTTTCTTATATTCTAAAGTTTGATTATTTTTATTGGATTGTAATTTTTCTGTTAATATCTCCGTATGGTTGGAGTTTTCTATTTCTAATAAGATTCTCGTAAGAAAAATTGAAAAGTATTTTCAGATACTGTTAGGTTGAAAAAGAATTTAAAATTTTAAAATAAAAGGAAAACAAATACTTAACAGAGGAGAAAAACTGATTGATTTTAATATTAATTTTATTATTTTTTCAAATTCTAAACCCAATTTAGCTATATCTATTTTAAGAAAACATTTTCAGATTCTTCTAGATTGAAAAAGTATATTTAATTTTTAAAAATTAAAAAATAGTTTACAAGGAACATCTTAACAGTAGAAGAAAGTCATCAAAAAGGGGTTGTCGTAGAAAACTAAATCGTAATAAATAAATTTCTATCTACGGCAATTACAACAGAACCTACACAGCACAGTATATATTACATCAAGTTTACAGAAAGCTTACATGTAAGAAATGTAAGTAGGTAACATCGTAAACTGTCAGTGGACTTACTATTAACTTAAAATGTATGTTTTACTGTAAGCATTACAAGTATGATCGTGGTAAGCTTACTTAATAAGGTCATGGTAAGTTTACATGTAAGGGACTGTTCACAAAATACGTAACGCTTCCAGGGAGAAGAGGGGGTCAAGTTATTTGTTACGGACAGCCAAAAAATGGCGCTAATGTTATGTAACTAAGCGTTACTTATTTTGTGAATAGCCCCTAAGGTTGTGGTATGTTTACCTTGTAAGCTTACTGCAAGATGTTACCTTGTAAACTTGCTGTAAGGTTACTGGAAGCTTATACTGTAAATCTACAATGCTATTAATAAATAAATTTTATTAATATTTATGCGCACTAGTTTTTTTTGGCATCATGTAGCTGCATAGTAAATTTTATTTAATAAACCCTACCATGGCCTAGAAACTACTTTACTCAATATACCATTATTTATTAAAAAGTTTATAATATAATGTAAATTATATTATATAATTATACTTAATATATTTTTATATTACCTACACAGAAAATTATAAGGTATTAAAATAAGCTGCAACGCTTATTATTTTAATACCTTTTAATTTTCTGTATAAGTTTACAGTAAGCTTACAGTAACCTTACAGTAACCTTACAGCAAACTTACAAGGTAAACTTTTACAGTTAGCTTACCTCAACCTTACATGTAAGCTTACCACGACCTTGTCATGCAAACTTACTATGACCTTACCATACAAGCATACCGCGACCACACATGCGTATGCTAACAGTGAATCAGACATTTTATAAGTTAACAGTATATGTCTACTGACGATTTACAATGTTACCTTACATTTCTTACACGTTTCTGTAAACTCGATGTAATATACTGTATTGCGTGGGAAGAATCATATATAGAGTATGCAATATTTCCCAATGAGTTTAATAATTCAGTTTAGTCCCATTACCGCAGCAATGTGGGTGGTACATATAAAATTTCTTCATAAACGTCTGGCTATAAAATGAGTTTTCCACTAATAGGATTTATTTCCAAAAACGTATATTCTTTCCTGATAGTTAGTACTATATAAATATGCGTATTTTTGTTAAATTCAAGCATATATGGTCGGCTCTTGTCTTATTTAGTCTTTAGAAGGCGGCGCGCATATATTCATGAAATATTGGCACGCTTGTATGTTTCGGTGCGGTAGTTAAGAGGGAAAGATCTTAAAATGTATATGCGATGCGCGGATATTAAATGGTCGCTATGATACACGCATGGGGCGTAGGCAGCGGTAACGAACAATCAGCGGCGCCCGTTACAAACGTGATTTTATGTTCCAATTTGCAAACACGACGTTAAATGCTCCCTGATGCTGGGCAACCACAGTTGCTTTCACGGTTACCAGTGTCGTCGTCGCCGCCACCGTAGACGCCGTACACCCGATTTGACGCATAAGAAAAAAGAAAAGAACGAAATATATTATAATCTTCCATATGAAATGCTCTTA